CCAGAGCGCGCTCCCGCGCACGTGCCCTCGGGGACCGCCCCCTCGGACGGGCGCGCGCGCTGCCGCGGACCCCTGACAGCGCGGCGGCCCAGGGCCTGCCACCCCCGCGAGCGCTCCTTGTCCCAGCCCGCCGAACCTCGACTGTCCAGCGAACACCCCTACCTCGCTCCCTCCGCCGGAGTGGGATCATTTCTTCCCGTTTACTCACACCCAGGGATCTGTGCGGACCTGCCTGACCCTTCGGAGTGAGGGTGGGAGAGCTGCCAAAGTTGGTAGCCGAAAAAAGCCAGTCCTGGGCGTTTGAGCATGCCCAGCTCCGGTTTTCGAAATGTAAACCTCTGTCGGCTGGCCTTCAGGACTGTGGGAAATAGAAGGAGCTGGGAAGGGAATGGAGCCGTGGCGAAAGCAGAGAAAGCAGAGATGGGGACACTGGGGAACTGAAAAGTCTGGAGAGGGGGAGTCTCTCCAGACTGGAGGAGGGTAACCTTCTTCCTTCCTGTTGTTTTTCTTTCCTTCTGACATTCCCTCCTTCCATCCTCACGTTTCTTTTCACAAGCAGAGAACATTTTGAAGGATTTCCTCACAACTTGAGAAAATGTGAGACAAAGAATCAAGAGTATATTTTAAAAGGACAAGAAGAATAAAACACACCCACACAAATCTGCTCCACACCATAACCGTCTTCCTCTGGGGCGGCATGTAAGTTTCCAAGCCAGGTTTTGAGCTAATGTTGATGAATATGTTAGTAAATCGTAAGCCACTGGGCATGTCATTTCTTTTTGTAGGCCTTAGCTTCCTCACCCATAAAACGAGATGGAGTTGATCCGTATTGTTGCTACATTCTTCTAGCTCACTACTCTGGGGGAGCAGCACCAACAGCAAAAGAATGAGCATAGATTTAAGGTCTGATCTCTGCCTGTCAGTCGCATTACCTTTCCCTTACAGTCATCGCAGAGAATCATTGATTGATTAGAAGATGGGGCTGATAGTAAAGAAAAACATTTTCTTTGATGTATTAAAAATTAAGAAATTGCTCTTTGGTTCCCATCTGGAAAGCTTATTTTCTAAAAACGATTAGTAAAAGTTGTTTCCATGAAGGTGAGCCTGAGCTAATGCTACAGGCAGTATAACTTTAGAGTGAGTCACTTAAGCCAAGCCTATGAGCTAGCAGATTGTCAATTTCTTCCGTATTGGACATGTCCTTTCCTGTTCTACAAAAGTCAAATCTGCTGGACTCGAGATACGATTTCAAGAACCGCCTCAAATTTTGCTATGACCTTTTGTAATATAACAACAAAAAAGAGCAAGCCTAAATTTGTACTTAATTACCTTCTACTTTGTATTTCTTGGCACTCTGAATGTTGGTGTTCAGCAGAAACTCTGAAATTAAACTTGATGGAGTAAATTTACAATCTTTGTGTACCAGCCATTTTGGATTATCTGTTATTGTGTGTCCTAAAAGCTTCAAGCCACATAGGGTGTGAGACCAACAATTGTGAGAAAAGAGGAAGCAATCATAACCGCGTACTGGTAAATGACTACAGAACTTGTACTTTGGATAGAAAAAAAAAGGTGTAACAGAATTATACACATTACCTCTCATTTGAGAAGCTTGTCAAGTAGGTGAATGGTTAAAGTGTAATACATGGATGAATAAGAACTGAAAATCAGCTTTATATAAGAGAATACAGAGTAATGGAGTAATCAGTACTGTGGGGGCGTGGGGCAAGGAATTCTAAGAGAAGAAAATTTTTTAAAAAACTTTTGAAGGAAGCCATGACTGGGGATTTGTTGGGAGTTTCAAGGGGTATGTATTGATCAGCTTTCACTGCCATTACAGAATACCGTAAACCGGGTGGCTTAAACAACAGGAATTTATTTCTCATGGTGCTGGAGGCTGGGAAGTCCAACATCGAAGTACTAGCTCATTCAGTTCCCCAGTGAGGACGCTCTGGCTTACAGATGGCTATCTTCTTGATATGCCTTCACATGTAAAGAGAAAGAGCTCTAGTCTCTCTTCTTCTTTAAGGACACTAATCCCATTACTCGGCGTGGGAGGCACCTTCACAATCTCATACAAACCTAATTACCTCCCAAAGGCCCCATCTCTAAATACCGTCATATTGGGGATAGGGTTTTGACATGAATTTGGCAAGGGGACATAACATTCAGTTCATAACAGGGTATATTTTGTTTGAGAGGGAAAACCAGCTAAAAAGGTTAATATGCAAAGAAGACGTTGGAGAAAGCAATTGTTTTATAATTGAAATGTAGTTTGGCTGTGAAGAATGCTAGGAAGTGTAGGACAAAGTTGGAATATAGCTTTAAATATTAAGGAGCAGATTTGGAATTTATACAATGGGTACAAAATGTTCCTTACATTCTCTTTAGTTAGGTAATAGGTGTTTAAAAAATCTCTTACCCAACAAAACAAATGAGTTACCAGCAAGATGATTGTGTTAGTAATCCAGATAAGAAGTAGTAAGAGTCACTCAAATTAATAATTTACATAATTATGATGTTGCAAAATGTGATTCAACAATCTTGTCAAGGAGGTGGAGCAGATATTCTTAACTCACCTATTTTATAGAGAATGAAATTGAAATACAGAGATTAAAGCAACCCAATTCAGATTGCTGTTTGATTCCCTTCTGGACATCATATTTTTCAGACAACTATATTGAGATATAATTCACAGACCATAAAATTTATTCATTTAAAGTGTACAATTCAATGGCTTTTAGTATTTTACAGAGCTATGCAACCAGCATGACAATCAATTCTAGAACATTTCATCACCTCAAAAAGAAACCCCATACCCCATAGCCATTATCTCCCAATCTTTTCACCACCACCACCCCCCCAGTCCTAGGCAACAATGAATCTACTTTGTGTCTGTTTAGATTTTCCCATTCTTGACATTTTACATAAAAGGAAACATATAGTATGTGGTTTTTTCTGACTGACTTCTTTCATGTAGCATATTTTCAAGGTTCATCTATGTTGTAGCATATGTCAATACTTCAATTATCTTTATTGCTGAATAATACTGAGCATCATGTATTAGGGAGTTAGGGACATATATTAAAACATAAATTGAGACACATTCAGCTGAAAGCATTCAGGTCTTAAAGAAACTCCAAACTGTGTCATAAGGAGTATTTGAAGAAACTGGGGATATTTAATATAGGAATGAGAAGATCCAAAGTGATGTGATAGGTATTTCCAAGTGACTGAAGAGATATCATAAATCAGAGGTGATAGACATTTTCTGTCTAGATTCAAGGTGGTAGATTTAGAAGTATTGGAAGGAAGCTATAGCAAACAAGTTTTACCTTGATGTGAGAAAACATAGTATGAAATTCCTCCAGGGAAAATAGGGAAGCTCAGCAACACATGAATTCTTGACTAAGATGTAAAAATCTAGACAGGATTGTCGATTATTGGGAATGATCTAGAGATAGATGAACTTTTAGGATCTCTTCCACCCTTGATATTTTATATTATTCAGAAGTCGATGGGATTAGTGTCAGACATGAGATTGAAATTCGGAAAATTCTTCTGGCCTTCAAATTTATCCCTATTCATCCTGCCATCAGACAAACAAGCACAAGTAGGAAAGGATTGTGTATCTGAGATGTATTGGCATGGTGTGTTGATAAGGAGGAACCATAGAAGAAGACAGAGACAAGACAACAACATGACATATGTATACAGAGCGAGAGAGAGAGAGAGAGAGATCAGAAGGGCAGTATGTATTTTGTCTGGCTAAGTTGGGAGGAGATGTGACATATGGATACCTCTCCATTACCTACACTGAGGTTTTTGCTTTCTAAATAAGAAGAGAATTTGGTTTGGGTTAGGCTAGGAATAATTAGGAGACTAGAGAGGCTAGCATGGCACCTGTACCCTTCTATAGTTATAGATATAAGGGTCCCAAACCAAAACCATTTTATGATATTCTTAGGCAAAGGTTGAAAAACAAAAGCCCATTGAATTATTACTGAGAGACATTATAAGGCAAGCAGCATTCTTTGATGTGCAGGTTACAACATTGTGGGACAGAGATAATGTAGAGGCCATTGTCTCTGCATGAAACATACCATTTCTCAAGCACCCAAACATTAATGGATTGAAAGCATCTAAAGACAGAGCTTTGGATTTGGATATCCCGAAGGGCACTTCACCATTGGCTACACTCGGTCTCCCTCAAGTAGCTTCACAGACAGCCTATGACAAAAGGTAACTGAAAAAGAAGAAAATCATGCAAGATATTAGGCAGTGACTTCAAGCAACATACTGGTTTTGTGAGCACATGTGAATTTAAGGCCACCTTGATGGACTCTCAGAAATATTTGGAGAACATTTACAGGAGGTTTAATTTCCTACTGAAGCAGGTAAGTTTTTAAATAATTGTTGATGAAGCCAGGGGGTATTGAGGAATATAACAGTATGTAAATAAAGGAGAGAGGGGTTAAGAAAAAAAAAGGGTGATACATAATTTCATATGCATTGAAAATATCTGCAGATACAAGTATAAAGAAAAAGAGAATCGGCAATAGTGGTATGGTAGAAGAAGCTCTAGGCAGGTAATCAGAAGAAGCTCTAGGCAGGCATTGAAAATATCTGCAGATACAAGTATAAAGAAAAAGAGAATCGGCAATAGTGGTATGGTAGAAGAAGCTCTAGGCAGGTAACCTTAGACCAATTCAAAGCTCTTTTTTCACCCACCTGTCATTGTCTTTGAAAGTCCCTTAACCTCTATAAAGTGCAGTATCCCTATCTATAAAAGTGAGTGTGTTGAATTAGAGCATCTGCAAGGTCCTAATAATTCTTAATTCCTATGAGTTCATCATTACAACAGGAGATAGTTGGCAAATATACCAAAGCATTTCAATGTACTGTTGTGAATGGAAGCCATG